CATCCTAGCGCTGTGCTCTGCTGCCACCTTGGCCGCACCGCGGGACGTGCAGGCGGCCCCGCTCCGCGCCCGCGGAGCTCCGCTGCGCACCTGCGGCAGCGCTTCTCCTCCTGCCCGCGGAACCGGCCGTGCCTGCTCTCGGGCCCCGCTCACCTCACCTGCTGGCACCGGCTGGACAAGGATATATGCCATGTCCAAAGGGTCAGGTTTGGGGGAGTTTCGTGGAGGGGAAGGGTTGAGTGTGGCCGGGGGTTCTTCATTTGAAGAATTTTATTTGCCTGCTGTGCTTAAAATCGGAACTTAGAAATGTGGGTGGGAGGAGAATATTTTTTTTCCTGTCCTTTTGCTTACTGTAGGATTCTTCTCCTCCCTTGTCCAGCCTTATCTTACACACTTAATGGAGAAAGCACTGAAATTTCCATTCATACACATCTACCTGCTTCTCCAGCCTTCCTACAGCATGACCACAGGGGCTCTGGAAGGACCTCCCGGAGCTGCAGCCAGAGGTCGTGTCCCCCCTTTACTTTTATTATTATTATTATTATTATTATTATTAATTTTTTTAGGGGGGTTGGGGCAGAGAAGGGTGACAAACACATCATAATGCACTGAAAATATATAAAAATGAATACTAGGCAATCAATAGAGTTTGTTAATCTTATTTCCCTGTTGTCTTGACATCGGGCTCTGGACTGGTGGTACACACTTTGGAAAGCTTTCAAGCACTTTATTTCATCTTTGAATTGCACATGGGGTTTTTTTTTCAGTTTTAAGGTTTCTTGTGCTTAGGAAGAAACATGTTCTGACAAGCTGGAGTTTGGCGGTGGTAAATATTTCCTTTGAGTACAAAGTGCATATGTGAAAAAGGCTATTTTTTCCTTTCTTTCTTTCCTGAAAATATGTTTCTTTCTCACTTGCTCCTTTCTCTGTTGTAGTTAATAACCTGTAAAAGAGCTGAATCTCGAGATCTGAGTGAAATGGCACTTTTGGAATTGTGCTTTTAACCACACCTGGCTGGGGAAAGTGCAGAAGCTCTGTATATGTGCGTATGAGAGGAATTCGTGCCATGCAGATGAGTTTGCTGACTCGGTGACAGAGAGGGACCACAGGTGAGTCCCCAGCGATCTGCTTTGCCAAGAGGATTTTTCCAGCCCCTAATCACAGAAAAGCCCTCCATCTGCTCCCTGGAGTTGGCGGTTCTCATCTGTTTCAAGTGAAAATAACCAAGAATAGAAAACGGCACGTAATAAACCATCTCCAGCCAAGTAGCCGTCTTGTCCCGCGTTCCCCTCAAAACAGCATTCCCCGCTGCTGGGGTCTCGGTCCCCGGGCGAGAGAAAGAGCTGCAAAGGGTTAAGCCACTGACTTGCTTGCTAGGCAAAGTTTGAGGAAGAATATGTCTGAGGCTGGATACGCTGCAGCCCCGCGTTTGAAATCTGTCACCCTCACTTAGGAGCGCTGCATCTCTGGTTGTCACCGGTGAATAATGATGGCACGGCGATAAGATCGCTCGGCGGCGGTGCGCCGGGGCCGCCCGGGGGAACAGAAGACAGGAAATTGCGAGGCGTTTAGCCGCTTCAACGGGGTGTGCTTCAGTGTCATCAGTGGGTGTCAGGGTCAAATGACCGGCTGGAGAGCAGTTTGGGAAGATAATTTCTTTCCTCCTTTCCTTGAGAGCAACCTTGGGTGTTGGTGACCACTGGCAGCTATGGAAAACAGAGACCTCGGTGGTGATCCCTAAAACAGTACCATGCTGGAGCCCAGCTGTTCTGCCACTTTCTCCCCTTTCAACCTGCCGGACCCGGTGGGCTTTGGGTGACCTACAGAGAAGGAACCCCTTTCCGCAGGAGCAGGTAACGCCTGATTAAGTCACTTTCTGAATTGACACGATCTTTATTTGACCAAAACGTGTCCTGAGTACCATTCACTGATTTGAAGTATAGTCTGGTTGAGGGTCCAGGGACAGGGAGAGAAACAGGGATAATTCCGCCTAATCCCTCTGAGACTGCGGAGCAGGGCAACTGCCTGCAGCCTTGCAGAAGTTTTTAACATTCCCACTTTCCTCCCTGATTAGGGGCACAGAGGGCAAAAGTACCTGCCATCGACAATGGCCAGCTCTGCCTTCTGTGCTGACGCCAGGCTGCTAATATCGGGGACGTGGAAAACAGAGGGACAGGTGGAGTAAACATGAGAAAGAGAGGGTCTTTTTCGCCAGCTAGAAAATGCACTAGTTGTCCATCAGCTTCATGAGGCATATATAAATCATGCTCAAATAAGAGCTCTGAAAAGTATGCAGAGGCAAAGAAATAAAGAAAGAAAGAAAGATCTTAAAAAGTCAAAAAATACCTAGAACATTAGCCTTTGTACTCTAAGGGGCTCCTGATCCTTTCATCCCTCGGGACCAGCTGGCAGCTGCGAGCAGACTCGACTACAGAGCAGCTCCTGCTCCGAGGCGGGGATGCAGGCTCTGGCCGCGGGACTGACTGGTGTCACACCCTCTTCTTCCCGGCCGGCTGGGACCAGCGGGGGGCCCCGGGCTGCCTCCCCTCCATCCTGGGGCGAGAAGCAGGGAGAGAAGCGGGTTCTCGTCCTTAATTCCCTTCCTCTTGCTGAGTCTCCCGAGAAACGCTGGCTACCTGCGCTCCCCTGTCCGTGCTCGCTCCCCACCCCCATCACTCCTCGTAGGTGAGGGCACAAGTCCTCTTCCTCCCCCGAGCGAGCAGGCGGCGAGGCTCCGGGCTGTCCACCCGGACTCTCCGGAGCCCCCTCGGAGGCCAGCGGGTGGAGGGCAGGGCGAGTGCGGGGGCAGGAGCTGCGCCGAGCACACGGCGACTGGGCTGACCCTCGCCGGGGCTCCTCGCTACGGCTTTATTGAGCCTTTGAAGTCGGGAGTGGTTTAGCCCCCCCAAGCGAAGGGCGAAGGAGGCGCGGAGCTAATAGCGAGTAATTCAGCTTTTGAGGTACGGCCGAGCAAATAGAAGGCACTGAGCAGCCAGGGGTGAGGGGCAAGCCAACTCCGAGGCATTTCGGTTCCTTTTTCTGTTTCCTCGACACATGGCATTGATCAGCTCCCTCTCCTCCGTCCCTCCTCAGCCCGTTTCTTAAAGTAACTCGCAGCAAAAGCTGCGCTGTGCGTTTTCATTACTAGTGTAGGAGTTTGAGGCAAATTCTCTTGGCACACCCCACATCCGACCGTGACGGCTGTATCGTATAGCTCAAGTGCTTCTCGGTATTAAATAGCTTTGTCTTTAAGTGGACTTGCCAGGACGAGGCAGAAGGCTGCTAGGGAGCTGGACGGCGGGGGAAGGGTTACTCCGAAACAAGCGCAGACAGCCCGGCATGCACACACACACACACACACACACACACACACACACACACACACACACACAGAGACATACACACACTCTCATATGCACTGAGTGTACAGGAGAAATAGGAGGGTGGGGGGTGGAGTGGGTGTTGTTACCGCTTTAGGGCAAAAGGCGGTTTCTCCAGAGGTTTTTAAGTCTTTATGACTGATGATGAAAACCAGACAGAATACTGGAGGAGGTCCGTCTCTTCCCTGAGGGTTGGAGATTCTTTTATTCTGTGTTATATTTGTTGAATACTGGTACTGCGTATCTGAAAGTTCGCAAGGGAGGAAGGAGAGCAAAAGAAGGGGGTGGGGGAGGCGGGCTTGGCGGCGGCTGCACATGAAATATCGCCATGTTGGTGGAGAGCACGGCTGTAATTATTGCTAGCGAGGGCATCTCCCAGAACCGCCGCTCGGGGAGTTTTTCTGCTCACTTCCCGGCCTCTC